GGGATGGGTCTCTCAAGACTCAAAATAGTTATATTTTGCGGTGGCGACTTGCGAACCATATATATAAATGCGACATCAAATCTATGCATGACGACTCTTTTATTAATTACAGTACTAGTGTTTCTTAACACGTATCTGTCTCCGTCCGTCACCTTGATTGGTTGACTTCCTACCTACATGTCATTTGTTTTTTGCCGCCGTAATTTGATAAGTTTTCAAAAATATGAGACCTTTTTTATAATTTATTTATTTCCTTTTTAGCCCTTCTTTCATCTTTTTAAAATAAAGTTATATAAAGAAGCCCTATCGATTGGACTGTGTATATAAAAGCAAAACCCTAAAAACACTTGTTTTTCGACTTCAGCGCCGTCTGTTTGCAGAAACCACCCATTTGGAGTAGGACGATGGTAGATCTCTCTTCGCCTTTAATTGTAGAAATCAAACGAATTAGAGTTGTATTAATGTGGCATGAGCTACTGTTTCCCTTCTCCTGGTTGCAACGATGAACATATATGTCTGTTTCCTTACGGTGAACACGAGCATTTCTTATTACGTTTTGAGGATTTTTAAATAGCTAAGCTAATGAATTGATTTGGCAATTGGTTTACTCGTGTTACTTTCACCGATCTTAACTTTATTTTTATTTAACTAATTACGCAACGATTTTCTTCTTAGGCCCCGAAGAAAGGAGTCAAGGTTGCTGCCAAGAAGAAGACGACGGTATCATCTCTTTAATTTTCTTTTCATATCTTCCAACATTCAAAACATGTTTCATTATTGGTCTTCTCTTAAGGTTGCAGTTATGTTTTCTGATGTTTTCAGGAGAAAGTGACGAACCCTCTGTTTGAGAGAAGACCTAAGCAATTTGGTATTGGTGGAGCTCTTCCTCCCAAGAAGGATCTTACCCGCTACATCAAATGGCCTAAGTCTATCCGTCTTCAAAGGCAGAAGAGGATCCTTAAACAGAGGTTGAAGGTCCCACCTGCGCTCAACCAGTTCACCAAGACCCTCGACAAGAATCTTGGTATACATCCTTCAAAATGTTTGATTTTGGAATTGCTTAGTTGCATGATTTTAACTATATCTGCTGGTTATAACTAACAAAGTATTGTATTTCTCTATGATTAATGTGAATGCTAGTAGGTTTCTGTTAAATTTCTGTGTCCGCTTTTAGTTTTAGTGCCTCACTCACCTTATCATCATGTATTGACAATTGGCAGCAACCAGTCTCTTCAAGATCCTTCTCAAGTACAGGCCAGAGGACAAAGCCGCCAAGAAAGAGCGCCTTGTCAAGAAGGCTCAAGCTGAAGCTGAGGGAAAGCCTTCTGAATCAAAGAAGCCTATTGTTGTGAAATACGGTCTTAACCATGTAACCTACCTCATCGAGCAGAACAAAGCACAGCTTGTCGTCATTGCTCATGATGTTGACCCAATCGAGTTGGTTGTCTGGTTGCCTGCTCTCTGCAGGAAGATGGAAGTTCCTTACTGCATTGTCAAAGGCAAATCTCGTCTTGGAGCTGTATGTGGTATCTCCAACTCTAGGTTGTAGTTTTATTCACGTGTCTCTAGCTGGCTAATAAGTCTGTCTCTTTGCTTTCAGGTGGTTCACCAAAAGACTGCTGCGTGCTTGTGTTTGACCACTGTCAAGAATGAGGACAAGCTTGAGTTCAGCAAAATCCTTGAAGCCATCAAGGTAAATATAAAAAAAAAGCTTCTTTGGCAATAGAATAACAGAAAATGCGTATGATGATGTTGAACTGGGTTGTGGTTTTGGGTGTGTAGGCGAACTTCAACGACAAGTACGAAGAGTACAGGAAGAAATGGGGAGGAGGTATAATGGGATCCAAATCTCAGGCCAAGACAAAGGCCAAGGAAAGAGTTCTTGCAAAGGAGGCTGCCCAGAGGAATAACTAAGAAGGATCTTTTTGTGTGTTTAGATCGTCTCTCTTTTTTATTTAGTTGGAACTATTTGTTTATGGATATGTTTTGCAACCTCTTCCGACAGTTTTCAAGCTTTATTATCATTTTTTGTCTCAGTCACTTCATCCATCTTGTTTTGAAAGCGAAACTAGCATCAGAGATAATTAACACTGCCTGAGAAGTTGCTACTGGATAAATATTCTCTAGGTGTCTCGTACTGATGCTTTTTATTCTTTTGGTCTCTGTACAAGTTATACTTGACAATAAAAAAGCATCATCAAGCTGACTAAACATTCCATAACATTTGGGTAATTAACAATACAAAAAATAAACTGATATGGTATTTGGACTCGTGGGCTTTGAGAATTGGGTAACCCAGTTTGGGCATGGTTTTGTAATTTTAACCTTTTAAAATTTACCGAGGTTCCTTAAGGTCGGAAACTGACTATTGATCTTATTAATCAACAGAAGTTGACGTTGGGCATTGAGATTGATAGAGCGAGAGATTCAAGGGGACTGAATAGATTTGGAGGGAATCTGTATTGTTGTAAGGAAGGAGGAGGATATGGAAGTGGGTACTACAGATCGAAGCAGCGAGCTTGAGCTCTACACCATTCCTGCTCAGTCCAGTACGTCTCTTTCCTCTTTATCTCTTCCAGTGCCTCCTTCGACGAACACCGTTTTAGATCTTTCTAGGGTTATTTCTACTGTTTCCGAATCAATTAATTCTAGGGTTTCGTTTTCGTTCTCCTTCGAAATTGATTTGAGGGTTTACGGTGTCAATAGGTTGGTTCTCATGGGATGATATACACGAAATCGAAAGACGCGAGTTTGCTGAGTTCTTCTCTGAGAGATCCATCACTAGAACCCCAAAGGTTTACAAGGAGTACAGAGATTTCATCATCAACAAGTACAGGGAAGACTCTTCTCGCAGGCTCACCTTCACCAGCATCCGCAAGTACCTCGTCGGCGATGTCAATTTGCTCCGGAAAGTGTTTCTCTTTCTCGAAAACTGGGGTTTGATCAATCACCTCAGGAAAAGTGATGATGAGTACATGGAGGAGAGTGTTACTGCTAAGGTCGAACAAGGTCCTCCCGCTGGGATTCGTGTTACTGCTACTCCGGTTTCAGTGAGGCCTGTTCCCTCACCTCCCCTTGTTGAGCAGAGAGCTGAGCCTGCCCTCAAGTTTTCCCCACTCACCTCTTACTCAGATGTTTTCACTGATCTTAAGAAGAAGCCATTGGTTTGTGGGCATTGTGGAGAACCTCCTTGTGATTCTGCTTTCTATGAACATACCAAGGTAGAGCTTTTTGTTTATAGAGATTATTATGTCTTCTTCATATTTTCTTGTCTGTTTTCTTAATATACTATGTTTGGGGCAGAGTATTGTCACTTTATGCGAAAAGTGTTTCAAGAATGGAGACTATGGGGAGAACAACTCCGCAGATGATTTCAAGTTGATTGGGAGTTCTCCTGCAGCTGTCTGGACCGAGGAAGAGACCCTCCTCTTGCTGGAGTCTGTGCTCAAACATGGAGACGATTGGGAACTCATTGCACAAAGTGTCTCTACAAAGACTAGACTTGATTGCATTTCCAAGCTCATTGAGCTCCCGTTTGGAGAGTTTCTGATGGGCTCTGCTTCTGGACGACTTAGATCCTCTATCCCCACCTCCGAGGATGAAAACGTTTCGTCTCTATCCAATCCTGTAGAACAGATGAAAACTGACGGTCAAGAACACAAGGAAACAGAGACGGGGGAAGAAAAGGAAGATGATCATGTCGATGAAGATGAGCCTCCAGCAAAAAGGAAACGTGTTGCAATGCTATCAGATGGTGATAGTTCACTTATGAAACAGGTCAATAAACACTTCATCATTAATTTGATTGTAGTACTCGGATTACTCAAGCGAAGAGTGCTGTTAGACTTTGGTGGAATATAATTTTCAAGAGATAATATATATTTGCATAGTGTGCAACAGGTCGCAGCAATGGCATGCAAAGTTGGTCCATCTGTCACAACTGCTGCTGCAAAAGCTGCAATTGCTGCTCTTTGTGATGAAGCCTCTTGTCCAAAAGATATTTTCGAAACAACTGATGATTCTGCAATTGATAGGTTCGATTCTCTAAGACCCCTTAAATGTGCTCATGTATTCGCTTCTCATGTCGTTTTCAAGTCTAATCTAAAACAATTCTCAGAGCTGATGGAGACAAAGATACATCAGAGATGCAGGAACAGCGAGAAGACAAAGGTAACTGTGTATTATGATCGTAGTCCCGAATTCAGAATGAAAAGCTCAAGACCTTTTTAGATTTATAATCCTTATTACTATGCAGAGGGGACTCAGGAGGATCTACCTGTAGCTTTGAGGATGAGAGCGTCAGTGGCAACAGCTCTTGGAGCTGCAGCGGCTCACGCAAAGATATTGGCTGATCAAGAAGAAAGAGAGATGGAAGAGTTAGCTGCGAGTATAATAGACCAGCAGGTTGGTTTGTTCAAAAATTAATAAGATGGGAACGTTTGGGTCTCCTCCCACTCTTTGCTGTTTGTTGTTTTAAGTCTTGACCCGTCATTTTCTTCATTTAATTCAGCTGAAGAAGATGAAGAGCAAGTTGCAGTTTCTGGACCACTTGGAATTGATAATGGATGCAGAAGAACAAGTGATGGAAGGTGTAAAGGAAACAATTCTCCAAGACAGGATTAGCATTTTGCAATGGGCGTTTCGGGGCGGTGTTACAAAACGTTGGGATCATACGTACGTGAAATAATAATCATTTGTTGGTACGGTAGGAGGATGATGGTTGAGTTTTAAAACGGATGTGTTTGTGTTGACTTTTGTCCTTTGGATGATCTCTCATATTAAAAATGTAGAAGGAAAGAAGGTTTAATTGTCTTTGTGAGTTATAGTAGGTGGTTGCATTACATACATATTTGTCTGACCATTGAATGGATGCATGGGTCTCTTCTAAATTCATATGCTCAGTGTGATGTCAGTATATATTTTTTTTAACGTCTAATTAATTGTGCTATTAAGAATATTATATATATGATTTTACAGCTGACAATTCTACATCTTGTGAGAATACACGCCTGACTGCATCGATATTCGATGGTATGTTTTTAGAAATTCATTTTCTGTTTCCACTTTCCAGTTAACTTGTTTTTTTTATAGTTGGCTAAAAGAATATAATATAATAATCATTACTATAATAAAAAAAATAGAGTCAGTCTATAAAATTGGTTACACCGCCCTCAAAAACCTTCTTCAGCTTCCTTATTCTCTGTTTGAGAGAGAGAGAAGAAAAAAGAAACTTTGAGAGATCTGTCTGCGGTTATCATCAATCGGAAAAACATTCATCAACTCCGGTTATAACACATGAAGTCTGAATACCAATATCACGAGGTTCTCTCTCTCTTTCCTGATCCTTGAGATCCAAGTAAGTATTTGAAAATTAATGATAAGAGTCTCCATCATGTTTGTTTCTTGATACAGGATTACATAAGAAACTCGAGAGGTGTTGAACTTTTTACTTGTAGATGGATTCCATCAACATCTTCTCCCAAAGCTCTTGTTTTCCTCTGCCATGGTAATTTGTTTTTTTAAAAAAAAGAACTTTTTGTGGTTAGTTCAAGAAGGTTTAACTACAAAACTAGGAGCTTTAACTGATAAAATTTTCCTTGCAGGTTACGGAATGGAGTGTAGCGACTCCATGAGAGGTGTCTAATCTAATTACTTCCTCCATGCATTAGATCAAAGAATAATTTAGATTCATCTCGAACAAAATATTGATTTCTTTTCTTTTTTTTTACCGTTCATGAATATTATTACAGAACACTGACTTGGTGGTGGGTTTGGACATTTAATTATCAAATTTTTTTATCCATGCATGGTAGTCTATGTTCTTTTCTTTTTTTTGTAATCTGTGTTTTGAGTTAAATATTTTAAATTATTTGAAGAAAACGAGGGGATAACCATTTTTATCTTAGTAAGATTTGAGATCATTTAGCTAAGCTTATCATGTTAGGACATTTTTGTCTATCTTGGCTGTGGAACCAGTTTGAAGGATATGGTGGTGTGATAAATATTATTTTTCTTAAATGCATCTGATAGGTAGAGTCGTGGACAGTGTTAGGAATTAGGAACGGTGGGTCAACAAGTCTTGTGTAGTTGGTGAACGACCCTATACCATTTATGTTATTTAACTGCATTTAATACTTTTACATTTCTTCTGTCAGATAGTAACCAATCTTCTATCAAAAACAAATTAGTAATTAATAACCCTTCTCAATAATCGCCTTTTATTTTCAAGTCTTCTATATGGCTTATATATGTTACATTACATGAACTCTAAACATCCTCGATCTATATAGATTGGTGGTTGAGAAAATTGATTCTATTAGTATTAATTAGGTTAGGTGTTTGAAACTAAACCTGGTATTGACCAACAGCATTGTGTTCTGTCTTAGAATGCGGAATCAGACTGGCTTCAGCCGGATATGCTGTTTTTGGAATGGACTATGAAGGTCATGGTCGGTCCATGGGATCTCGTTGCTATATCAAGAAGTTTAGCAACATTGTAAATGATTGCTACGACTATTACACCTCTATTTGTGGTACGGCGTTTACATTACAACAATACGGTCGTCCATTTCTTGTTTGGATTTGTGTCAACCCTAAACCTATGCTCTTTTAAATTTTCCAGCGCAAGAGGAGTATATGGAGAAAGGCAGATTCTTGTATGGAGAATCCATGGGAGGTGCAGTCACTTTATTGCTTCACAAGAAAGATCCTTCCTTTTGGAACGGCGCCATTCTTGTTGCTCCAATGTGTAAGGTACAACCGTACAACAAAAGTAAACCACCCACAATATAGAGGAGATAGTGAAATGCTATTTATGAATGCAGATATCTGAGAAGGTGAAGCCACATCCCGTGGTGATTAATTTGTTAACTAGAGTCGAAGAGATGATACCTAAATGGAAAATAGTTCCAACAAAGGACGTGATTGACGCTGCTTTCAAGGACCTTGCCAAGCGAGAAGAGGTCTCTCAATATATACATATATAGTCTCAAGGAATATACATAATCTCTCACAATGCATATTTTGTTATAGAAATGTGTGGTTTTGGTCGTAAGCGCAGGTAAGGAACAACAAACTGATATATCAAGACAAGCCTAGGCTAAAGACTGCACTTGAAATGCTTAGGACAAGCATGAACCTCGAAGACAGTCTCCACGAGGTTTGACTTTTGATTCATTTATTTTTTAAAGTTTCCCGTGAGCTTACAATATTAAGTAAACCCAACTGCCTTTGACCTCAAAGAGTCTTTGATTATCTTACTTTTGCAGATAACAATGCCCTTCTTTGTGTTACACGGAGAAGCAGACATAGTGACGGATCCAGAGATAAGCAAAGCTTTGTACGAGAAAGCTAGCTCAAGGGACAAGACTCTCAAGTTGTATCCTGGGATGTGGCACGCTCTGACGTCAGGTGAGCCTGATTACAACGTCGATCTTGTTTTTGCTGACATCATCAATTGGCTTGACCATCGAACAGCTGATCCAGCCTCTCTCACTGTCACTCCTATACGAGCTGCTAGTGTCGAGAGGGTTATTGTTGACGGCGTTAGTAACGGTCAAAGGAGGAGACCTAAACGCGCCTACTTCAATCTCCTTTGTGGTTTGAATGGTGGTCGTTTGGTTCCTCGATCTGCTATGTAAACGAATGAGTGCCCTATTACTATTTGGTATTGTGGATTATTAAAGGTCAGTCTCATTCATGGTTGGACAAATATATACATGGCCCGAGGAGTTGTGCACTACATTATCTTTTTAAGCTAAGTGTGATTGAGATGTTGTTGTAGCTCAGATTTTTGCTCTTTCTGCACCAAATCTCATAATAACTTAAAAAACACAATTAAGAAACCAATCCAATAGATGTGGACAGAACATTCTATCCATGTTTAATCCATCAATGATTGTGACAATATTTGTCTCTGCAATGATATTACCAGATCAACACCTTTCCCCTACTCTTTTTGATGATGTTACTGCGACTACTTGCCTATCCGGAGGCTTGTTAGGGCTGAAAAAATGAAAAAAACATTTTTGAAGGTATCTTCTGAGTTTTTACATTTAGGTGTCGCTTTCGTTAAGTTGACAAAGATCAGCAACTCATTTTTGGGTTCAGTTAATGGCATGCGCATGTTTAAAGAAAGCACCAAACTACAGTAAGAAAAAAGACTTTTAAAATCGGTGTCTGTGAGATCCGGATCTCCAACTACATTGACAATGAGAAAAATAACAAAAGAAGGAATGTGAAATAAATGAAAAGAAACGACGCTGTCCTGTCTCTCTATGAGTCCTCTGCTGCTGCTACGGCGGTCATGACATTATGGGTTGTTTATATAGGAGCTGAGAGCGAGGCTACTTGATTTATTTTATATTTATTCTGTTGATGAAGACGTGGTGGTCTTCTCCTGCTGCTTCTGGTCGCCAAAGACACGCTGACGGAAATCTTTGACCATAAGTGGGAGTCCTTGGCGCAAAGCCACCTTTGGTTCCCAACCTAGAAGCTCTTTCGCCTTTGTGATGTCTGGTTTCCTCTTGTGTGGGTCATCCTCTGTGTTTGGTCTAAACTCTATCTTTGCGTTCGGGTCTATCGTCTCTTGTACCACCTGCCATTCACTCATGTTAGGGTCAGATTCAACACGACTTTTGAGAGAAAACGTAACAGAAGACCAAAGTAGAGTAGAAAGAGAGAGAGGAAACCTTAGCGAGCTCGAGCATGGTGAATTCACCAGGGTTGCCAAGGTTAAATGGCCCAACGTGTTCTCCTTCCATCAACCTCATCAAACCCTCCACCTATCACATTCGAGTTTACTTACACTCATAAACCAACAATCCCAGGTAATGGAGAGACAAATAAAAGAGAGAAGATAAATGTTTTTTCAACTCGAGAAACACAAGGACATGGTACAACAAAGATCTTTTTTCAATCGTTTGATATTGATACGCATCCATCCTCAAAGCTAAAAGAAATTTATGATGGTAAATCCTATTCCACATCAAGTTAGTGAGCCCCGGTAACAAATCTGATGCTAGAGAGTTGTTTTGCGCTATAAATAGAGATTTCTTGCATCAAACTAACTGTAGAAAGTTAGAAACCTCAAATATCAATTCGCATGAACCACCTATTGTAAACTAGTGAGATCACCATTTCATCTCTTTAAATATGTAACAATTCTATTCCTAGGCCAAAATTGGAATCTAACTCCATGGAAGTTAAAATAGACTATAAAAAGGGCAATTTGAAGCATGGCTACATTGAATAGAAAAAGCCTATAAAAAGGCTAATATTGAATCGAACTTTTTCTATTGCTTTGTAATATTATAGGAGGAAAAAGAGGGGGGAGTTTACCAGATCAGAGACAAACTGGAAACTCCTTGTCTGCTTGCCATCACCATAAACAGTCAATGGCTCTTTTCGTAATGCCTGCACACAATCATACCATTTCACTAATTAAATCATTCTTCACTAATTTAGGCCAGTTGCATTTACTCAATTTATTAAAACTAAAAATAAAACCTTTACCTGAGCAACGAAGTTGCTAACCACACGACCGTCATCAATACACATCCTTGGTCCATAAGTATTGAAGATCCGAGCTATCCTAACCTGTGTTCCTCGTATTCAGTTATCAGTATTTCCTATAAAACATCATTAAAGATTATTAAATAAATAAAAAACAAACAAGACCTCAACATTGGCGCCTCTGTGGTAGTCCATGGCCAACGTCTCCGCCGTACGTTTCCCTTCATCGTAACAACTCCGAACACCTGTTCCAATCCTCCCATTCACAAACTCTCAACTACACAATCAATACAAAAAAAAAAAGAGAACGGAAAAAAGGAAAGTAATTTTTACCAATGGGATTAACGTTTCCCCAGTAAGTCTCAACCTGAGGATGCTGCAGAGGATCTCCGTACACCTCACTCGTACTCGTCAGCAAGAACCTCGCTCCCACCCTCTTCGCCAGCCCCAACATGTTCAACGTCCCCACCACATTCGTCTTTATCGTCTTAACCGGGTTGAACTTGTAATGAACCGGAGAAGCGGGACACGCCAGATGGTAGATCTGGTCAACCTCAAGAAGGATCGGCTCCACGACGTCGTGCCTGATGAGCTCGAAGTTAGGGTTTCCGAAATGGTGCATCACGTTGTCCTTACTCCCCGTGAAGAAGTTATCGACGACGATCACGTTGTCTCCTCTCGCGATCAATCTGTCCACAAGGTGTGACCCCACGAAACCGGCCCCACCGGTCACCACCACCCGAAGACCTTTGCGTTTCAGACCTAGAGGGATTTTCCCTCCCACAGATCCGATCCCACCGGTTATGTACCCGATGCTCGATTTCCTCTGCGCCAGCGAGGACGATCTCATTTCGGATCCGGAAATCGGATCCGAGTAGTAGGGAATCGGTTTGGGGGAGGAGGAGGATGGAGAGAAGAGCGTAAAGCCTAAGGTGGCGATTGCAATCCCGACGAGGACGAAGATTAGTCTCTGTTCGCGTAGCATGTAACGGATCGGCTTGATTGGCTTCCGGTGGAGAGATTGGGCTTCTGGTTGCTGCGTCTCGTGTCGCCGGTATGTCATCTCCGACGCCATCTCTCTTTCTTTAATTGAAATCTGGATTCAACGATCGAAATAATTGTTAAGGAGAGGATTGATGGGTGTGTGTTTGGATTCAGAGTCGAACTCGCCGGAGACTGAGTCAGACCTTTAGGACGGGAGTGAAATGCGATATATGACTTTTCTCTATTTTAAATACAAGACGCGTGACAGTGTAAGCCTCCTTCTTCACTTTTATTACAATCTTACCCACCGTTAGTATTACAATTTTTTCCACCGTTAGGCGTTTTTTTCGGCACCCATGCATTAATATACCAATTACAGTTTTTTTATCAACTTAAATTTATTAATTAGATATTTAGAATATAATACAAAATACATATACAATACATTTGAAAAAAAATAAATAAATAACTAGCATAATGAAACAGAACAAGAGAAATAAATTCTGAAAAATTATTTTCTTCCAAGGTTTTCTTTATCAGTAAAATATCAACTCTATTCATATTTTTCAAAGTTTTAGATCTTCATCGCATCACAACCATCAATCTCTTTTGTTGTATTACATTGACTTTATACAATATTAGAGTTATAGATATTTTTTTGTATCTAATTAAATGTATTAATTCAACCATGTAAACTAAAAGGTGTAAAGGCAATTATTTAACGATTGTGAAAATATCTTCATATAATACATAGAATATATTTTCATTTTTGTACTATGGTTTTCTCCATAATGATTTTTCCAAGATTTCAATAATAGTTCAGATGTATCCATATACAATACAAAACATATTGTATCAAACTATAGATCTAAAAGTTTCTTCATATATTTCTATTTCCCAAATTGTTTGTCTGCTCCCGATCTCATCAAGTATATTCTTCAATGTTATAAATCCATTGTGTGGATGGCTCATAACCAAATATTTAACCAAGTACAAGAGAAAGTTCATGGAGGTTTACATCCATCCATCTGCATTGCATCCAACACCAGTCCACATGAGACCCATTCAACCTTTGCCATTATAAGTTTTGACCAAGTCTTTATGTAAAGTAGCTTGTAATCAATGTGGTCATTGTGTATTTAATGTGTAGATCATCTTCCATGTAAACCATTCTACAAACCACTATATATATGTGTGATAGCTAATGAGAAATTGACAACATTCCTCACAAACATTCTCACTCAGATTATAACACGTTATCAGCACAAAAGCTCTCTACACATGAGCAATCTTTCTCCACCGGAGATCCTCTTTCCGGCCAGCTCCTCCGACGCTCAGCCTTGTTCCGCCAGCCATTCCTTTTTCCGCAGCTAAAATCCGGAGGCCACAAAACTCTTGTTTCGGTCGCAACTTCAAATGATCGTATCTCTCCAACCGTAAGGACTCAGACGACGATCCACATACCAATTTGAAGCTCTCGACGAGAAGAATCCAGCGCCGCAAACCGCACATCAATCCGATCTCATATGCGCTCTCACCTCCTGTTCTAAGATGCGCCAACGAAAACCTAATCCATCTACGATCTCTCTTTCTCTTGATGGTCCGGTTTCAGATCTTCTCTAAACAAAGGAAAACTGTCTGAAACTCTAAAAGAGAACAAAAACAATTGAATTTGGTTTGATGTTAAAGGTTTATGACCAATTAAAATTTACAAACCTCCCATAAACCCTAGGTTAATAGATTCATACCTTTGAGTAAGTTGGAGCTCTTAAGTTCAACAAGAGATTGTCAATCAATTAAAATCACAGCCATCAATGGCTTGCTGAATCTCGAAAACATCATTGATCTGAATGATCAAATCGTTTTTAACCTTTGAAGTTGATCATCACATAAACATAATTATGATGGATTTCTTATAAACCCCTAAAAATTATTTTGACTGAAATCGATTTGTTTGATTGACTCACTGGTTTGTTTAAATTATTCTATCTGTTAATTCTTGATTGTATAATGAGTTTAAGGACCTGGAAAATCCTTGTATTATATTGTGTGTTCTTCATCGACCTTGAAAACTGATTTGTTATCCTCTTTGTCGATTTTCCGATATGTTATGATTCTATGGACCTTGAAAACCGAAAATATCTTTCAGAAATAATACTAATCAATGCATATCTTTGACCATTGATGTTTGTTTTGTAACTGATGAAATTTTAAATAAACTTTTATGATTTTATAAATGCATATTTGATTTTAATAAATGCATATCTTTGACTAGGTAGTATTTTTATAATCTATACTCTTGATTTAAATTAATATATCATAAGATAAAATACAGTCTGTTTTGAAATCATTTGATCTCAAGTGCTTGATCACATGTCCCATATAGAACTAATATGCTAGGATTGAATGCATTATTTTATGATCCGATTTTTATTTTGGTCTAAGTATAGAATTCTAATGTTGCTAGAATTGCTAAAACCGGTTGATTGATTGATATTGCATTCATTAGACCATACATGCACACCTGATAGCATCTTGTAGATCAAACATAAATTAGTAAATTGTTAGATCATACACATATCATGAACTGATCATTTCTATGCATCTGCTTGTCATATAAAGAACTGAGCATACATTTAATTCTTATTTTGATCATGGTGCATTTAAAATAAAATCTAAATTGGTTCATATTGCTTGCATATAATTGATTCATTACCTAATTAGATTATTTGGACTAAGCATGCTTGTTTTCATTAAAACATAAACCAGCTTTGAAACCGACTGATTGAAAATCTAATTGAATTTAGTTTAGACATACTCTGGAAATTATAAACTTTCTTTGTCTTGGTATACCCGGTAAAGAAGGGGTGAAGGAATCGGTTTTATTTTGCTCTTTAACCCAAATATCCTCATGCATTAAGAATCACATATAGATTACTTAAAACCAATGCTTAAGCTATTTCTTGATCCATGCATTTCCTTGATCCATCTTGCTTGATCTCATTTAATAAAATGATGATTGATCCTTATTCAAAAGGGCCTTAATACCCTATATATAATCAATCCAATTTGAATTATAATTAAAGGATCACTAAATGCAGTGATCAATTGATCATTATCATGCTAGAATTTTCTAAGCAAATATATATTATATGATTTGGATGAAAGCCATATTGAAATCATATGCATTAAGGCTTCTATTGCTTGCATAAAATTCTGAAAGCTTGAATTGCTCGTTAAATATTCAGATGTCGAGATTTGAACCCTCAGATTACTCTGCCCTAAACCTCTCTGGAGATAATTATCTAGAATGGATAAAGAACACTCTAGTTGCCCTGAAATCCAAAGGTCTCGGTGGATGCCTCAATGAGTACTATTATTTTGGTATCCTTGATAGTGAAAGGCATAGAGCTATAACGATTATTTGTCTTCATCTCACTGAGGAAGTAAGAGACCTATATCTCCATGTTGAGGATCCTTGTGACCTTTGGTTACAATTAAGGAAAAGGTTCAAACCGGTATTACGGCAAAAGGCTAACGATCAATGGGACACCATCAGATTCCAGGATTTTGAATCCGTGAATGAATATGATTCTGCCCTGATGGATATTGCTTTAAGTCTTGAACTATGTGGTGAAGTGATAACACATGAGGACTTATTATATAATACCTACTCCACACTCGATCCAAAGGATATACTGTTGTTACACACGGCTAAGAAATTCACCACCTATGAAGACCTCTTGTCATATCTTCTGGCTTCTGAACAAAGAAAACAGAAAATCAAAGACACCATCGACAGATATGATAAGCTTCTGAAAAGATGCAATGAGCTAAGAAATAACTGCGCCTACTGGCAGCACATGGATTGAAAGACCAGATTATATAATGGTCTTTTGACATTCTTATTCTCATGTTTCTTGAGTTTATGCTTCATGAATTGCTTTGATACTTTGCTTTCATTAATAAAAGAATTGCTTTAAGTTCATGATCGTGTCTATTTTAAAGCCATTATCTTACTCAAAACTGTTGTTTGATAAGAAACTATATCTATAGGCCTTTATAGCGCCAAGATAAATATGATTGAGGTGAATACCCCAACTCATAATTTCCAAAGAGTTCAAAGAAGCCTTTAAATGTCATGACATGCTCGGCCATCTAAGCTCAGTTATAATGCATAAAATACTCTTGAACTCAACTGTCCATTCCTTGAAACAAAGGAAAAGAAGCTTGACTAAGGCATTACCTTAATGGCATTATATTCACCCTATAAGGTCCATTTTTAATTAAGAAGATAAAATGATTTCCAATTATGGGCAAAAGGGAATAAGAGTACCTAAATTAAAATCGCCTAAGTGGTCAAGACTACATTCTCTATTGATCTAGAGATCAATATGATATTAGGCAAATAGCCAGGGCAATCATGTTTGATTGACCCACAAAATTTATCACTTAAGATGGCATTACCATACTTAGCCATCCGGATTATGATGCAAAGATTTGAAAGGGCACATAAGCTATCCCATAAGATCTCACGTTTGTGCAATATTATATCTATGCACAAGGGAATTTATTGTCCCAAGCACCACGAATTAGAGTATGTTCATGAGGGGGAGTGAGGACAAATCCCATAATACATGACCATTACTTAAATCCGGAAACATGGTCCACAACCATGAATTCTAAAAGTCCATATGCTTGGGGACACCATGAGTTATTAACTTGCATCATGCCATATAAGTGAGTATAGATATTCCCACCTCAGACTGATTCGGGTTATGAGTCCAGACATATATCATCTTAAGATATTATGAATAAATCCACCACAAATATATGTGCCATCTAAAGATCATGTGATCTTAGAAAGTCATAAAGAGGATTGGGAATATATGTTGGATATATATATATGTGAATATACTTTCTCCATAAGTTTAAAAGAAACCTTGAGACAAAATGGGTGATCTAATTATGGGCTAAGGAACAAGGGTTACATAAAGGTTTATGAATCCCAATATCCAACATTGAAAGGAGAAAAGTAATAAGCTGGTAAAAATGATAAAGAATGGTATCTACCATCTGGTATCAACCATCAATGTCTTGGCAAAGATCCTCAGACTAGAAAATAATTTATAGACGTCCATATGCTTCAATGATAGCAAAATAATATGCCAGACACATTGACCCGAGAACGAATGACTATGTCATCCCA